TTGTTGTTTTTGCTTTTTTTGCAAAGTGATACGTTCTATCATACGATAATAAACTGCACAGAGATATTTCCTTCGCTTAAAATATTTCATTTTCATGATTCATTAAGAAATGAAATATTATGTACGTATGACTATGTATCTATGTAAAATTTAATAATCGTTTTATTTACGAAATTTGTTAGTTTTAACTTTATTGAACTTATCGCTTTGCTTATTTCTTATTGAATGACTGTTTCTGTTCTATGGTCGCGAGATAAACTCTGCCTTTTATTAAGATAGATTGTTTACTTTTCCTTTAATTTGCTAAAATTCAAAGATAGATTGTTTACTTCTCCCTTAATTTGCCAGAATTCGAAAGTAGATTGTTTTTCATCACGCTTTGTTGTCATATTATGCTTTAGCATCTTATAGTTTACAGGCGGCCTGATGAACTCGTGTTAGTAAATAATAAGAGAAACTATATATTTTCCTTACAACATATCAAATGCTGTTACGTTATACAAAGGCGAGTTTTCAAATATATATGAATTGCGATATATATGATACGACGATTGGTCGTACAGAATTGCACTGGCGATGAAAAGATTCGATTCAGTATGAAAATAGTTTCTTTCTTGTTATATTTACTTCCATTCAATCCAGTAAAAGTGAATGAGATACATCTCTCCCATGTTGTGTTATAGTGAATTAAGTCTCCATTTGTGTTACTTAATGTATTCCACATTAAAATATGTACCCATGTGATGGCATTTGAGTTATATTTTAATGGTGTCATCCACTTACTGTTTGAAGCCTTATATGTATTTTCTTAGCACATGAAGTTCGGAAAATCAAATAACATCATTTTCTGATGGCCAACGAGGCAACATTCACAATCCCGTAATCGTAATATTTTTAAGAACATTATTGTATATTTTATGCATTCTATTCAATTGCGTTATGTCTGCTTGCTTTGCTGAGATATGTATATTTTAAAGTACATTACATGTTACTGTGTGTTATGTGTGATATGAAAGAAAATATTTCTGCTTGGCGTGGCGAAAATATAAGAACAATAGTATTGTGCACTTGTGCACTTGAATGCATTTACATATTATTCCTAAACCCAAGAAAATATTTTAAAGGAATCATAAAATTTGCTGAGTTTGCCGTTTTCCTAATAACGGCTGGTTTGTGGCTGTCGGTATCGCGTAAACTTGATAGCTGTGGATTTTGCAATCGCTTTATTTACACGCCGTAGAGTTTACAGGAGTCTATAAAGTATGCATTTTTTTTTACAATCGGATGAAAAATGAATAACATATTCTAATGACCATGTCGTTTACCCGATATCGAAATACGTACATGTATGCGGGTCTCCCCCACAGGGTTTCATTGGAAACCCTTTATATCTCTTGTCGGTAAATTATGATGGCTTCAAGTTACAGTAATGTCAGTAAAGTTGATAAGATCACTTCATTTAATAAAGGAATTTGGAAAGGACTAAAAAGGGGAAATTCCATGCGGAGGTCCTATACTTCCAAATTACACTGATGGCGATTGACTTCTTTGGAAAGATGCTCAACAATATGGTACAAGGAATAATACTTCCCAGAGAAAAGCAATAATGGTAGTCCAATTGTTACAACACAAGTAAGAATTCGTGTATTACATCCTTCCGAGTCCAGGTAGCAGGGGACAAACTTTGGTATCAATGGTTGGCTTTTTGCTAGCTTTCTGACTTAACATACTGTTACGAAACTCAAATCGGGTAAGTCTGCGTGAAACCGAAAGAAGATATAATTTCTTTGCACGTTAGGAAAGCAATAAAAGCAAAGAAAAATGTTTGATGCTTTACATGCGGACGTTATAGAATAAAGAAACCTTAGCTGGCTGTTAACCTACAATCCGCGGAATGTTGTACAAAAACAGGATTAACAAGAAAATGTCAGAATGAAACTTGATCACTTGAAGCAAATATCAGAATAAATTTTTGCAATTTTTGATTACTTTTGAAAAACAGAGTTGTTCTCAGTTTACGTTCTACTATAGTCGTTTCGTTTCTATATCAACCTGTGTGTAAGAAGTTCCCGTGTTTCTGTTATATCGGTAGCATTTTAACATTTTACGGCCAGGAGAATGTTTGCAACTGACATTAAGCAGACGGACAAACGGACAGATGGACATGCTGGATATCGATTTAGAACATGAAAAAAGGGATCCGATCAACTTTTATTTATGTTTTGTATATCTATGTCATTTTTGTTTTTTTCTTCCGCACTTTTTATAAAGATTGCCTAAGATTACACAAATTATCAGTGTACCGAGGTGTATTTATATTTTGTTTTGGGCGTTTTGTTTCTCTACTTACACTGTAGGTTTGATAAAAAAATACTAGATTGTTATTCTGCGGAAAGAATTAATTTATTCAGCGCTTGCTCAGCTCAGCTGAAAAGTTCGAAGATATATAGAATATGGAATACTACTTCTGACAGCCGATGTTATGAAGTTTGACTTCGTTTGATATTGATTTTTGCGCAGAATAGCGTTTATTACTTCTTTATGCTTTTACGTCCTTGTTTGTTTTTTTTCGATTTTAATCAAATTTAAACAATGATTATTAATGATGTTAACGCAACAGTTCAGTATCAAAAAATAGGAGCGAAGAACTTACGATTTCTCTGCTTCAATACAGTGAAGTAAAACCCTTATTTTGGCTAATAATATATAAATGAAGATGTTAAACTTAATGCTTTTCAAATTACTCGCACAGCTTTCTTGCCTACCTTCCGCTTTTTCCAACTTCTTCAACGCGATCTCTTCTTTCATTAATGTAATTACTTTTTCCGCATCTTTTATTGCTCGCTGCATTCTGTCAAGATCATTGCAAAGATTTTCCAAATACTCATAACGTGTCATAACGCATCGCTTGAAATAAACATCGTTCAGTTTATTTCGATTGGATTTTAATAAAAGCGTTTGTTTACATTTTGACGGTCCATTATGCACTGCGATCTTATTTCAATCCCAAACCGGAAAATAAAAATTCAATACGTGATTACTGTAAACTGATGATAGTGTACCATTCACAAAAAAATTCCCCGTCCGAAAGGAATCGAAAATTTAAAAATATGTATATAGTTTCTTAAAAAATGAATTCCTAAACACGTGTGAAAATAAAGATAGCCTGTGTTGCTAGTGCTCAATGTCTTTTTTTTAGTCTAAGAATTCATTTCATTAGTCTAAAATTAAAATAATAATAATAATAATAATAAAGAAGAAAAATCAAAAAATAAATAATATCCTAATAATAAAATCCTAAGCTTGTCATATCAAAAATTCATTCATAGATATTTGGAAAAAATCATGCCAATCAAGAAACACATAGAAGAAGGGAAAGCTTTACAGTGGGCTATGGCCTACTATTCAATCTCCTACATCACATCGTAATTATTTATACAATGACTTTTAAAAACAAACCTTTATATGGGAAGTGGCCGAAAAAGTAGGCCGATACGAACCATTTTCAGTACCGATCGTTGTTGAGCCGAAACGCGTCAGTTTAACAAATTTTATCAAAATATCTAAATGATTGAGAACTCTAGGTTGAATACGAGAAAACAAAAAGGATAGTTAATAGGTGGACAGACAGACAGACACGTTTAAATCAAGTCAAAAAATGATTTCGAATTATTGATCGGTATAATAATCTGTTGCATCCTCTCTACCTCAAATCTTTAAAGGTATTGAACACATCCACGCACTCTTTTCATATGTCCGCATCACAAGTTACGTAGATTATAATAATAGGCCAAAATTTGTGTCAACGGTCCCATATGTACACACTCGATCAACATAAGCTGCTTAATAAATTTATCGTTCATAGAAGTAAACACAAATTAATTAAGATTTAGGTGCACGGTCAATAGCAATCACAAACCTATCCATGAAAATATGGATAAAAAAAAGCGTTAACAGCGTGGCTGTTAGTAATGATAGATAAGTCAAGACTTTGAAATTTGATTCAAACTTACAAAGGAAATATTATTTATTAAATATTATTATTGTGAGCGATGCTATTGCTGCTAACCGGTCCGGTCAACTTCTATCATTTCAGTGGGAAATTTGGATCACATAGGTCTATTGTTTTGAATCGTAACTTGTATAGGCGCTATCACGAAACATAAGCCCTTATATGGAGGGAAATTCTAAGAAATCAACTTTATCCAATTTGGGACATGTAGGTCTACTCTTTGGATTCGAGCGCATATAAGGATTCTCAGGAAATGTAGATCCTTATATGCCAAAAAATCATAAATGTTAACGTTTTATGATCAAAATTTGTTCATGATAGTAACTTAACATAAAAGTCACGCGCTGCAAGAAGGTATAGACTATTTGATGGTGGGCCCTAGCCCATCACAGTGTTGTTTTACTTCTTCGAATTTATCTAAATTTTTTCGTTCGATTTACTGAGAAAACTAGGAGGTACAAGTCAAGGTTTAACAAAGAGAACGATGAAATATATAGATTCGGAAATAAGGTGAGTATTAGAATATTCTTCCACTTTCCTGGTAACGTTAATAAAACAACGACATAACATTATTTGTACATGAACAATACATAAAATAAAACGAGGACGTCAATTACAATGCATTCTCCAATTTAATTATATAATTATGTACAATATCAAGAGCACATTTATCAGTTGATACATAGGGGGAGAGAACAGTCGTCGTTGTTCAAGTGTGTCTTTAGCTTGACTTCATTGACCAAACTATTAATGGTTGTTACGCGAAGAATTCGGTTTATTTAAAATTTTAATTTTCATTCCACTCTTCCTAATCAAATTTCAATTTGTTTTCCAATCAGTAGATTTTTTTTTTAAATTTCATAGATATTTCTTTTACAGCTAAGAGAAGAAATTCAGTTTGTTACTGTTGCGGTAATATTGAATATTTTCAAACATTGTTCCTATGTTTAATTCTTATCTAGATATTACTAAGATTGAATGAAGGAAAATGTGTGATGACTATGAATACACGGATCCAATTGTTGTCGGCAATGAGAGAGATGTGCCCGATAATGGCATGAAACAATTTGATTTCATAGACAGCAAGAAGGTGCTGTTGATTAAACAAAAGGGTCAGTTATACGCAGTAGGGTCCAACTGCCCTCATTATGGCGCGCCTTTGCAAAATGGGGTTTTAAGCGAAGGTCGCATCCGCTGCCCCTGGCATGGAGCATGTTTCGATATTAAAACTGGTGATATAGAAAACTTTCCCGGTCTTGATTCGTTGCTTTGCTACAAGGTCGAAATTAGTAAAAGTGGTCAAGTAGGTATTATGACCAGGCGTAAGGATGTAGGTTTTATTAAGCGCATTAGGGATATGGTTAAACGTGATATGAACGATCCTAGTACATATGTGGTAGTAGGTGGTGGTCCCGCTGGAGGAATATGTGTCGAAACTTTACGCCAGCAGGGATATGCCGGGCGTATTATTTTGATTTCGAAAGAAGCATACTTGCCGTACGATCGCGTTAAAATCTCCAAGACTACGAACGTAAAGATCGAAGCTTTACAATATCGTCAACAGGAATTCTATGATGAATACGACATTGAAACTTTCTTAAATGTTGAGGCAACCAAAGTTGCAGGCGGCGAACAAACAATCACTTTATCAAACGGTATATCTCTTCAATATGACAAAATGTTCATTGCAACCGGTTGCGCACCGATAATACCCCCAATTACTGGAATTGACTTAAAGAACGTCGTAATCATACGCACGTACGATGATTTAGCGGCCATAAGCAAAGCTAAGGACGAAACAACTAACGCTGTTTGTCTCGGCTCAAGCATTATCACACTTGAGATAGCCCAAACTTTAATCAAACAAGTCGAAAGTGTAAGTAGTAACAGAGCAATTAGTTCACCTTAACTAAAGTGAATACAAGGTACTCTTTTTTAGGTAACCATTGTGGGAACAACTGATCTAATTGGAAATGAATTTTTAGGTGATGTGATTGGTGAACGGGTTCTTCGTCTTTTCACGGATAATCGTGTAACTGTAATCCCGAATAGCGGCGTTAGTGAAGTCTTGCCTAATATGAATGGCGAAGTAGAGAAAGTGATGTTAATAAACTATAACGTATTACCTTGCAATTTGCTAATAATAGACGCTGATGTCAGCTTGAATACAAATTTTTTAGAAGGATCCGGTTTGAAATTAAATACCGATGGTTCCATTGATACTAATATTTACCTAAGAACTTCTATTGAAAGTATTTACGTAGGCGGTGACATCGCCAATGCGCCCGTCTATAGTATTGACAATGAATTTGCTGTCATTCGCAATTATCAGATTGCACAAAATCATGGCCGTGTAGCTGCCATAAATATGGTTAAAAGTCGATCGAAAATTTTACGGACAGTGCCTTTCTTCTTTACGAAACTCTTTGGAAAAAGTTTCCGTTTCTCTGGCTACGGCGAGTATACGAATCTTATTATTGAAGGCGATTTAGAAAATCTCCAATTTGTTGCATACTTTATAAATAACGCAGATAAAGTTGTACGCGTTGGGTCTTGCGACTGCAATGCAGTCGTCGCAAAATTTGCGGAACTACAAAGTCAAGGATTTAGTTTGACACGCAAAGATGTTGAAAACACCGAGATGGCATGGACGAAATTGATAAAAACCGGCTAACGCTACAAAAGTAGACAAAGTAAACAGATAACTAAAATTTGTTCCGCATTAGTTTTTATAAATAGACCGTAATAGAACCGTTTAATCATTTTATTTAATTCACTTCATTTTACTACGAAACGAAAGGTTGGCAAAAAATTCAGCAAGCAATGTTATCACGTGTGATATTGTAAAGTTTTTTGAGATAGTATTTCCTTGCTTTTATACAACACTATATAGAACACTATGTTTGCTCAAAAACAATACCGCAATCACTCCTCAATCACAGTATTCACCAAACTTAGCTCTCTAGAGCCTTTGACTATTCGCGAAAAAGAAAAGACCCAGGAAGGACGGAGTTTTGGCATGATTAAGAAGATAAAGACCACCGAAAGAGCTCAAGCCCGTGCCAAGGAGCCATAAGAAGTCAAACTTCTCCACGAAAGAAATCCTCATGTTCATATAAAATTTACCCTACCCATTAATCATTGGCCACATCTAGGACTGCTGATACAGCATAACTTGCTGGCGATATTAAAATTCTCTATTTTGGCTCATTACAAACTTGAATTTTCCGTCGTTAGGTCCTTTAATTGAAAGCAGTGCACAAATGTTTTATTTTAAATACTGCCCGGTAATGAATTTGGATATAATATTTTGTCGAGCCGAATCAAGAAGCGAATCATATTTCTATACAGATCAATAGCGCCTCGCGACTTACCAGTATCAGTTAAGAACTTTATTTACATGTGAAGTTCTATTAGTGTCAGGTGTTTCGATAATCATCTAAATCCCGATCAGGGATGCGCTTATGGAGCCAGATATCGAGCTAGCTCGGACGAGATTTTCCATATTGAGTTGAATTGTTTGTATTAATTTTGTTATACATACGTCGGCGTTGCCACGAATGATTCGTTGAACACGCGGCGAATGAAAAACATAACTCGATAGGAAAGCAATCGAGTACCTTTAACCCAACGATGATTTACGTTTCGTTATTTGAGTTACCTCAATCGTACGCCAATCCGACATTTAAGAGATTTTTAAAATTCACAGATAGTTCCCTGTTCTGACCCGGAACCACCGATCAATCGAACGAATATCAGGCAAAACTTTGGTTATATTTTTTGAACACATCAGTGTTTTGGGCCGAAAAAGTAAACTTAAATGATCGCGTTTATAATGTCAAAGTACTATTACTCAGCGAGTTTTGCTGAAAAATTTCGAAAATTGCAAATATTTTCCATAAACCGACTTTTCAGAATAAGGTGGAACAAGTAGACCGAATGCAAAGCACGACAGTGCACAAAATTTCATCGAAATATCTCTAAAATCAACACACAGCAATACGTAGGCAAACATCAGACAGGCAGACAGGCGGGCAAGCAAGCTAAGATTGGTTCAGAAAATGATTCTGAATCTTAATATACCTTATACGACAAGTGATATAGAGTATATTTATAGATCCCTGTCGGAATAATGTTATATAAACGTTTTCCATAACAGGCAGAAATGCTTTACGTTTTTGAACACATTTTGAATGTAATGTAAATAAGCATCGACCGAAATTTTTGTCGAACGAATTTTAATTTAAAAAAATGAAACCCTTCGAAATTGATGTTAGCTATATCCGAGCAAAGGATGTTAAGCGTCCTCTTGTCGAAACCTACACTGCACCTGTAGCTGTATGCCACGCCATGGACGTGCGGGAATATGAAATGAGGGAATTCGATTTCATTAAGGGTAAAAAAGTATTAATTGCCAAACAGCGCGGTCGAATTCACGCTTTAGGCAGTTTATGTCCTCACGCCAACGCTCCGCTGGTAAAGGGTGTTTTGGGCGAGGGACGTATACGCTGTCCATGGCATGGATCCTGTTTCAACTTAGAAACCGGAGATATTGAAGATTATCCGGGAGTCAACTCGTTACCTCGCTATAAAGTGGATGTAGAAAGAGGCGGTTTAGTCATGGTGCGTGCAAGAGTACAAGATGTTCCGAGTTCAGGGCGCATGCAAAAAATGGTTAAACGTGATCTAGAAAACCCCCTTGTGTATCTTATAATCGGCGGTGGGATCGCTGCTCAAATGTGTGCCGCAACTTTGCGTAAAGAAGGCTTTACGGGCAGAATTTTAATGATATGTAAAGAACCACATTTGCCTTACAATCGCACGAATCTAACAAAGTATCCGAATGCCAAAATGAAACAGATGCAATTCCGCCCAAAAGAATTTTATGATGAGTATAATATCGAAATGCTTTTGGATACTGAAGCTGTTAAAGCAAATATGGAAGAGAAAACAATAACAACATCTGACGACGTCCGATTCTTTTATAACAAAATGTTAATTGCCACCGGCAGCAGTGCAAGAAAGCCATCTATTAAAGGTATCGATTTAAAAAACGTGTTTACTCTACGCGATTATGAAGATTGGGAGCATATAAGAGAAGCGTCAAAAGCTAAGAACGTTGTTTGCATAGGCTCCAGCTACATTGTATTGGAGGTAGCACAAAACATAATATCTTACGCACACACAAAGGTACGTGCAGCAAAGAAAACAAATAAAATTTTGTACATCTTAAAACCCATTCACACCTAGAAGTCACTCGAGCATAGAATGCACTCCTAGCAATCATGTGTTCTTTCTGCCTGCGATATCCAGTTTTTAGTCACTTTCCGTTGTCTGCATTCCGTTCCTCTGTCGTCCTTTGCTTGAAATATCAGAATTGCAAACACCAGGTAGTATAAAGAGTTACTCACTTGCACTGATATTATTTAGCGATTTCGTCCACACACTTCTTAACGTTCATTGTAAGACAAGTAAGAACATTACAGTCGGGCGACGACGACGACTATTAAATACCCTACATCATATCACCTAGTGCACCATATCAATCGTTTTGGTAAGAATACACCGAAAACTACACATTATTCTCATGAAAGCCCGCATATTGGAGGGTTAGCTTTTCTCTCCATATAATACTTTGCGTATCGTGATAACGCCTACATATGTTGGTGTCCAAAAACCTAGATCTATGTCGTCCAAATTCCCTACTGTTACATACATCTGCACGAACTTAATATACGCGGTGCCATAAATGGTGTAGGGTATAAGCAATCACCAATTGATTAATAAATCATCAATTAACAGGCAATACAAAGTAAACTTAATTTCCTTATATGTTTCGTATTGATTTTTTTATCAGGTAACAATTGTGGCTCGCAGTCAAGTCCCCATGCTAGCTGTATTCGGCTTAACAATTGGCGAACGTATTTTGAAATTATTCAGGGACAATATGATTACAATGCTTATGCAGACTACAGTTACAGAAGTTGAAGGCGATGCCGATGGTAATGTAATACAACTCACGTTGAGCGACGGTCAACAATTGCCATGTCAGTGTTTGATAATTGGAGCTGGTGTACGTTGCAACACAGACTTCTTAGTTGGCTCCGGTTTGCCAATTAACGCTAATGGTTCAATTGAAGCTGATATGTATTTGAAAACTTTATTCGATGATGTGTATGTTGGTGGCGACCTTGCCCATGCACCCGTACATTCTGATAATAATCGCTGCTCCGCCATTGGTCACGAGCAAATAGCCCAATATCATGGCCGCGTAGCTGCCATAAATATGGCCGGTTCAAGGCTAGTAGATTTGCGTACTGTGCCGTTTTATACAACAAGTCTCTTTAAGATCGATTTTCGCTGTGCGGGCATTGGTCGCTACTCGGATATTGTCTTTGAGGGTGATGTCGGCACTTTTAATTTTGTTGCCTACTATCTAGACAATCTCGACAAAGTCATCTCGATAGTTGCTTGCAATCGTGATCCAATTGTGTCACAATTTGCCGAACTGAGAAGCCAAGGCAGAATTCTGAGACGACACGATCTTTTAGATGTAAAAAAACCATGGACGGCTCGTTTGAAAGGACCAATAAAATGCTATTGAATGAAAATATAATAATATAATAATTTATTTTGTAACTAATTTTTGTTACTTTGTAGCTATGATGAAATAATGAAATTTTATAAAGTAACAATAGCGGAGTATTTGTGTTGGAAATTTCCGATAATAGGATTGCAAAAATTCACAAAAAAAAAAGATATAATAGGATCTTCCTTATTTGGGAAAATCGCGCAGGTTTCAGAAATGTTTGACTTTCACACGCTTTAACTAATATGACTATAGGAATAAAATCGAGAGGAAGTGGCAGGATCAGTGTAACATAACGTAACAGTTTTAGTGCTGTTATGTTAAGAATTCTTTAGTCGCTTATTCTTTCATTTATGGAATTGGCAGGGGTAAGACCTATGATATGATGTAGAGTCCGCTTTCAAATGACGTCAAATGTTTGAGGAACATGTTCGTAGATGTTTCTGCATTTCCACGTCCATCCATTACACGAATGATTGTACGAACCAGAAAAAAAAACAAATTAGAGACGATGGTATACTTTGTTTCCGACTCAATATACACAAGTACATCGTATTTTTATTACAAATATCGCTTTTCTATGACCAGTCGGAGTACCGAGTGGCACATTGTTCGTTTTCGTCATTTAAGAAAAGGTCAAATATAGTATTCTAATATAATGCAATCATAAGCAGCAATTGACGTGATCCAGCATTTGGCAAACTTCATTTACTTTTCACCTGCTTTCGTCATAAAAATTCGCTAATTACGACTTTGTCAACATAGAAGGGCTTAGTAAAAAATGCGATTCATTTAATTTCTATATAAAGTTACTATCATAGATCAATTTTTGTCCTGAGTTATTGAAAATTACACCTTCTACCATAACGAGATACAGTTTACGCGGGAATATTTATATGGAAGGGTGTTCAAGGAATTGCCACATCCGCTTCAAATTTCTCATAATAATTTTGTATGCTGATTTTTTTCAAGAAAAATTGAAAATTGCAAATTGTTTTCATATAAGATTTTTCAAAATAAGACTTTACTTATGGAGATTGAAAAAGCGGTCTAATTCGAATCATTTTCGTTCCGAATGAAATCCAAGAAATTATCTCGACAATTGCCATCCCGTACGTTGAACTCAAATATGTAATACGGACAGACGGACGGACGTGATTTTGATTAGGTCATTAAAATAATAAATGGACCTATCTCAAGTTCTCCTGGATGTTGCATGGATAGGCATAAATACTCTGCATCACAAATGGTACAGGAAACTATGGTTTTTTGTATCTATTTATTCGCTTGCGACTAAGTTTACATCAGAATAAAATAAGAGGTAAATATGGGAACGTGCGAAAGTCACTTCAGCAAAATAAAGATTTGTTTTCCGTTATCTTATACAATTTGAAGCCTACCTCTAGGAAAAAGAGAAAATCAACGGCACAACATATAAACAATCATTTGTCTTCACTAAGTAAAATAACCTAAATTAAGTTGTGTGTTAATACTTATCGTCTAAATGAAAGCTCGTAAACATGAATGGGATAGAATCATTTCCACAGCTCCAAGTTTGGTCGAGTAGAAGAATAGCAAGGGGGTTGTGGTTACTATACATATAAATATACAGTCATTTTCTTTAATACATATTGAAAGATGCTTTTAAATTATTGCATATTGCTTGTTTGCCTAATTGCTAATGTATCACACCTCGCTAACAATAACCGTAAGAGATTTAGATTGGAAGCTTTAAAGCAAATCACTGTTGGATATGCTGACGATGCGTCTTCTCCAATAATTACAGACATATAGACCATTTGTCAACGAAAAGTAAAATTTATTGGAGTATTCCTTCTCTACATATCTGAATCGGCAGCAGTTAAGCACAATTTTCTTGTTTTTATTTTTAAAAGAATATTTTACTTATAAGTTGAGCGTGAAGAAATTATATGAATAAATAATAACTTTCTTTGACTAATGAATAACAGAAAATGCCTTAATAAAAAGAATGAAAAAAAAACTGTATAAATTATCAACAATACATTCCACTGCAGCAGTCATTTCTTAAGGAGAGAGAGCTTGGTTTAGAAACCTCAAAGCAGCTCTTGTTGTTACTCTTGCCCCCTTTAGGTGATGAGTAGCAATGTATTTTTAGCTTTCATTGAATTGATTTTTGAACTCTTAACTGACGACCTTGAAAGCATGCAGGCATACGAAGAAGAGTACATCGATCTCGCTTTTTACGCTAATGATGATGATAGTATAATCATTACATAAACATTACTAATATTAATGTTGCGATGGATACATCCTCGCAACGCATTAAACTTAGTAAGATTAATTGACTTGTACTAATACCCCGGTAGCTGGGTTTGGTTGACAATTCTTCTTATCGGACAAAATTGTTATCGAACATTTATGTCGGCTTGAAGTTGATGATACTCGATAGCGTCGGTTTATGATATCATAAATAATCTGCTGTAAATATAACGAGCGAGAAGCCCAACTCGACCAGAAAAGTATATTGTACGACCAAAAAAGTATATTGTACGACCAGAAAAGTATATTGTGCCACCAACCCAAAATGCAATCTTATGCTCTTTGTTTTTGTATATCGTATAGAGACCTCAATAATGAGAACCATAAACCGGTCCCTGTTCTTGTTTATTACATTCACTGCAGAAAAGTGTTGACTGTTTTACGATTCTCGGACAATTCAAGAATACTTAACGCAAACCAAATCTTGTAAAGCTCAAGATATTAACATTTAGAATTAACTATATCTCTCAGTGAATAAATAAAAACAATTGGATATTCAGTTCTAAAGATGTCTATAGTGGTGAAAGATTAAAAAAAAAATTTTTTCTAGCATACTACATTTATAAATTCTTATCTGTAGCTATTGTTATTATTCGAGTATATCTTTGTTAGCATTATAAAACTTATATGTCTATCTGCAAAATTTACTTAGAAATTGTAAATGTAAATCCATATGTAAATTAAAGTTTTCTGTATAAATGAGATAACGAATTGGTCATGAATTTATCTTAGAACTTACCTGATAAAATGTAAATTTATGATAATTACTCAAATACTTATAACCCATGACTAATTCCCGAAGCTAAAATAACTATATTCAACAAACCGGAAAAATAAGCACTCCCACCTGTTCCACGAATTTCATGCCATCATATACAATTTTAACATTAATTTCATTTGTATTGTTTTTGCCTTCTTCGTTTATTCAATGCTTTTATATATTCCCTTTAAAAGTGGAAATTCTTCTCGTTTACTGGAAAAATAATTTGGTCTCTTTTTTTTCTTTTCTTTTTTCTTTTTTTACATAGTTTTCTAATTCTTGAAAGAGGATTTGTTTATGAATTATTATTTTCTTAATTTTATAAATTATTCCAAAAATATACATATTTAACGAAAAAATAGAAAAGGCGAAGAAAAATAAATAAATAAATGAACAACAAAACAATGCACAACTGACCTTATTAGCAGTTGTTTTATATAAAAAAAATAGCGATAATAATAAAAATAAAAAACTGACAGCAAAAGACCGTGACATAACACAAAAATAGAGCAAACTAACAATAAAATATGTAATGTTGCCAAGCGTTAAGCGTTAAGGACCCCGCCAATAGAACTCAACTCGTCAGAGGTTCATATTTGCAAATAACAGCAAAAGTGTCTCCGCCTAAACGTTGCGCTAACCATTTATTTTTCACCACTGCCAATTTAAGAGTTTCGCAATTGAATCGGGCGTAAAGATTAGTATGAAGAGCGCGACCCATACCTTCTATAATAAGCAAGTCAGTCTGATACGTTTTCAAAGCTTCGCAGAGATCTTGCGGCAAGGTACGCATATCTAGGCAAGGACCGCGTTGACCATTACCGAAGACTAATAGTCGCTTTTCCGAGCAAGCTTGCTTAAGTACCGGACATGAGCAATTGCAACAATCCAATATGGCAGTTAGTTCACTACTAGTAACGTCGTTTAATGAAGGTTCGCTGTTTGCACAGAGCAAAACTTTTGTACCACGTTTCAGTAATTCTCTTGCGAAGGGTAAAATACCTAGTACCACATCTACTCCGCTATTATCCACAAATATTGCTGCACATTTATGAATCTCTTCCTCTTGTAAACGTTGCAACCACGCGTCTAAATCATCCATAAGCCAAGGTCTCTTTTGTATACGTTCTAGCGCTGCGTTTAAACCGAACGAAGCATCCTCCTGCAAGATATTTGTAACTGCTTGAGCACCCCAATCGAACATATTGCCGGCCAAGACACCGCGCACTAACTCCAGCCAACGTTCCCTGTCACTCTTAATTGCATCAATTTCTTGTAAGCGCCCACTTAATAAAGGCACAGCCTCCTCATTTTCCGTTTTTTTCTGTTCTTGCCAAGGGTCTGTAAAGCCATGTAATCGCAATTGTGCATCATTCAATTCCAATAGTTCGCGTATACCTAGCACTTTATGGCTCTCACTTTGGGATTGATATTCTTGCAATTTGCTTAAATATGAAGAGCGGAACTGATTCGCTCTTTCTTCTGCAGAAGTGTCGGTGGCACGTTGGCTTTCTAAGGCTCTTTGAGCAAATTTCTCAATCAATTCACGAAAACAAGGAAACCAATAAGCCGCCGCTTCTTTATCTTTATTTAAATCCAAAGTGTCGGGTTGATAAGTATTAGAATCCTTGACTAACACATTACAGTGCAATTCGCACATGCTGCTACCCGTAGGCATACACGGTTGTTGAATATAAAATAAAAGAAAAAATAAACCACTAAAATGACTTTATGATTTCGTTAGCTACGCACATACATCCGTACACTTATATACAATCGTTTACACTAATTAAATTATACCTGGAAGAAATGTTCGTACAAATAAATGGTGAAAAAAATTTGATGTTTGACAGCTATATTGTTGGAAATTCATAAAAATTTAATTGACTTTTAATGGAAATAGCTGCTTGCCCTCGAGAATCTTTTCTATGTTGCAGTCATTTGTTCCTTAAATTGCCACTTCCGCAAGCACGCGGCCGCTTTAAGAAAATTTCAATAATTAAAAAAAGGCAGTTTATTATAATTGAAAAGAAATTCTTATTTGCTTTTTATTAAGGTTTTTTTCTCTTTCAAAAAACGATAAATATATATATCCATACACTCGAGAATTTTATTTAAAAAAAAAAAAAAACTACTGAATTCACTGAAATATTTAATGTTAATAACAATAATAACAACCATAAATGATAACGACAAGCAGACAACACAACAAAGCAGGACGAGAATCACTAATAAGTATATGAGAAAAAGAGAAAGAAAGTGATAAACAAAAGTAGAGTTGCCGAAGCTTCTACTAATCATCTGATTTAAAACATAATATGATTTTATTATATCAATAGGATGAAAATTTAAAAGACGTCAAATATGTATAGGATTTGATTTTTTTTTTTAATGAAAATATATAATTTAATGAAAAGTTTCTCTAATCAACAACTATAATATATGCTTTTGTTTGCTACTGCATGTTATTAGCGCTGCCCTCTCTCTTTAATTAGGGATATCGCTTTAAATGTGGGGAAATCAACACTGTCAATCTCACAGCATATTTCAACTCTTTCCGGTTGAATTTTTGTTAGATAAACAACCAAAAAAATGGTACGATTAAAAAACTCGAAATATATTAGAAATCATAATATGTTACAAAACACTTAGAGTAAAAAGTTTTCCTGAAAACGCTGTTAATTAGAATGAAATAAATATTATAGTGCGAATAACCATAAATATATTAAAAAGAGAAACTTGTTTACATAGCAACATTTAAACTATAGACTAATCATTACTTCTGTTTTTTATCACCTAAAGGCCAAACGTACGAAAAAGGTTGGTATTGTCGGTAAATATGGTACCCGGTATGGTGCTTCACTGCGTAAAATGGTTAAAAAAATGGAAATTACCCAACATGGCAAATACACTTGCTCCTTTTGTGGAAAGGTATATTAATTGGTTTTATATTTCGAATATTTCATAATATGTTTATTTTCAGGATGCCATGAAGCGCGCCTGTGTTGGCATATGGTCTTGCAAACGTTGTAAACGTGTAGTGGCTGGCGGAGCTTGGGTATATTCTACTACCGCCGCGGCGTCAGTACGTTCAGCAGTGCGCCGCTTACGTGAAACTAAGGAATCTTAAAAGTCACGGCTTACGTAGGTAGTCTCAGCTAAATAGGTACGATTCATTGTGCATAAAAAAACTCACAAAAGTAGCTTCTCATTGAATTCTTTCCTGGTGTAGATATGTTAATCAAAGATATGTTTGTGCTTTGGTCATCTGAATGTTTATAAAGAAAAATAAAATAAAAAAAAAAGAATAAAAATAAAAAAAGTGGAGAACTGTTGCTGTTATCAATTGTGAACGGAGCACTCATTCAATGTGACTTCAGACAGATAGACTGACAAATAAGCCTGTAACACTGAAGATGATTTCGATATGATCCGAGAATTTATCGCAAGCACTCTTTAATAGATCCGGTGCCACAAGTGATGTGACGTTCGTTTGAATGCGACTATCATCAAGTTTATTAAAACAGATTTTTTAAAATTGTGCAGATAACCAGTACAAAATACAATAATAATAAAACTAAAAAGGGAAACTGTGGCTACAAGTGAAGAAGTTTGTTGCCCATTACGCGATAAGTAAATGAAATCTTTCATCATCGAATAAATCATTTACATGCGCCGTAGGAATGGCTGGTAGTTGAACGCATATTTGGAATTAGTTTAATTCCATAACATTTTAGTAAAACCAACCTAATGAGCGTATTTAGAAAAGCAAGAGTTTCTTCTTCCCTAAATAAGAAGTGACAAAGATCGCACATTTTTGACCAAAGCGAAGAAATTTCATTATATATTTACATAAATCCTCCTATTCCAATTTTACTTCGGCAAAAATGATATTTAATATGCCTTGAGGAAATCTTTTTTGTTGTTTTTTGACACCAGCTATTCTTGCTATGTGATAACAAAACGCACTCTTTTCCAAAAACTGAGACGAAAGAAGAGCTCTTTCGAAATTTATTCTTTTTAGAGAAAAATTTTATTTCAATTTATACTCTTAGGTAATCTCAAAAAAAGTGCTTCAGTAAGCCAACATTGCATCTGTTGCGGTAACCGTTGTACTTGTTTGGAGCCATGTAGTCCTTCTATTGTTGCTTCCAAATATTGCTTCAACTATCAAAAACATAAAATTCCCAGTGACTGACATTTTGTTTGTTTTTTTTGTGTTTCAGGGATCGAACTTTTCAATTCGTTATCGAATGCACCTCTACAGTTATCTACAATCTGATGATAGCTGTAGAATGCTTTTAAGTTATAATTATTTTCAATTCTTCACATTTTCAACGACTTACTCTTCATACCATCGATATATAAATATCTAAATAAGTTCAAACAAGTAATAAAGGTATATTTGGTTATACGAGATACTTTTATAGTAAAGAAGCCAAAATTTCGGACTATAACACGGAGAGGGTCGTGGTTGCTTTTTCCAAAAATTTTTATTCTGTCTGTTGTAGTCTATGAGGACTGGGCAAACCGCCAAAAAATTGTAGTCTCCTTTTAAGTTAAACATTTCCTACTGTCGTTTTAGCCCATTTTCAACACCAACTTGCGCGCCAGAAGTTCAATGTTTTCCTAAATTTGAAGCCGATATCTTGATTTTTAAAATTGAGAATTGGATGGATGTCAGATAGCCAATCAGATAGGAACAGTTGGAGTCCGAATTTGGTTTTAATTAAGAAATTGCATACTTTAGGGCGTCTATGAACGAGAATTTGTAAGCGTTTGTGCTGGCTTAGACAAGAATTTTTTTGACGTCCTACTCTAGGGCTATTTGTCAGACTGGCACCGACCTGCCGCGCTGCGCTCATGGACCAATTGCCCCCATTCAGCCGATTTTATAGGTGTGCAGGAACTAAATTTGCCTAATATCTATGCTTAGCATGAAATATTTGGGATACTGCTTCACCTAATAAACCTTTTCTTTATATCCATTACCGAAGAATGACGGATATATTCATTTTGTCAAAAGAAAATCTCCTATATATATTCTTGATAAGCAACAATTTCTGAATCGGTTTAAGCATGTCCGTCTGTCTAATACCATCCATCTGTCGGTCTGCGCAGGCTCATAACACCTGTGATAAACCCTTTCTCGTTTGCAAAAATGAAAATATCGCTATAGACTCGCAAAAAAATTCGAAATCACCCAAACTTTTCAAAGAACACGCCGACATCGTGCATACTCCTATGAACAGCAGCCATACAAACAACGGGGGTAGGATTCGATCGCAATCGCACTTGTTTAGACTTTACTTATGTAAATAAAAAAATTTTAAAAATAATTTTTTCTCATATATGGATTCCTCTTTCCGATTGAATAAACAGAGAGAGAGAGAGGGAGAACGAGAGAATGTGGTAAATGATTCAAAAAAAAATTTCATATGAAATAACTTTTATTTAATTTTTTCCTATTTTATTATTTTTATGACAGAAAAAATTCTTTTACAATAAAAATTTCACTTAATAATTATTTAAAAAAAAAAAAAAATTTAATATTTAGTAGAATTTTTCTCGACTTCTCAATAAGAATCAATTGTTTTGTTTTCTTATATAAACCTTACAAATAGAATTCCATACATTTTCTTTAAATTAAATATTCTAAGTATTGTATATTAGTTGAGAAAAACAATTTCTATAGGAATTAAGATGGGGGAAAACTGGACTACAAAATTCAGTTAACAACAAATCATTAGGAATATATGTGAATACATATTGCACCATCGCTTAAGGTAGAAGAAGAAGAAGGAAAATCATACATATATATATATATATATTAATTTTATCAAAATTTTACAATAGTGTATATATATATGTATATATATGGAAATGGATTAATACTACAATTTTTTTTCTGTTGTATAAATTTTGTTTAGCTAAAATTGTTATACGGGAAAACTATTCGGTTACGATTTTGATGTTTAGGAAATCTTTAATTTTTTTTTTTTTTTTGTTTACAAAATGTACGATTCAATATATTTTATTTTTTCTATTTTAAATTAATTGAGCAAATTTAATTTTTTTTTTTTTTTTAAATAATAATAAATTCGTTAGATTATATGATCTTTTTACATATCGAAACTTACGATTTTTTTTTCCTTTTAGTTCATTATTTATTTATTTATTTATTTATTTACACATTTCAAAACCGTTTGATATTATTTTTATTTTGTATTACGTTTATTACATTTGTTTTTCCTATGTAACGGTAAGTTATGGAAATTAGAAAAAATTATGATATGCTACCTTTTTTTCCTTATAAATGTTATTAACAATGATCTATAGAATTGGAAAATCTATTTAAATATATTCTTCTGTTTTGTTTATGGAATGAATTTTATTTAATTAATTTTTTATGTTATATAAAATATTTATTTTTAACGTTTTTTTTTTTTTTTGTTTTTTATAACTACAAGTTACTGTTTATTCTAATTATAACCCACCACCAAAAAATGGGAATATAATAATCTTTTAAAAGGACTCATCAGGGGTCTCATAACAAGTAAACGCATTAATGATTAGATTCTGTTCTGCTCTGTTCTAAGTAACAAACATTTAAGTGAAATTCTCATAAATATTTATATCATTTATATAATAACATGTAGTATATGTCGTTCAGACAATTGTTCGGGTCTTTATTAATTTCATCATAACGTTCGGACTAAGAGCATTTGTTACTACACTATTTGAGGTGGTGGGCGTATCAGATTCGACCTAAAACGAATACAATTTTTTTATTTAAATTTTATTATTTCATTTTTCATTCTGTACATATACAACCATAGTGTAGATAAAAAAAAAAAGGATTAAAGAAAATATTCTAAAAAACTCAAAGGTATGAATAATTTAATTCGTTGGAATTAGAATAAAAAAATCAAATATCTGCGATTTTTATTATAAGCAACAGTATTATTTATAAATTTTTTTTCTTGCCTCTGCTGATATTAAAAAAAAAAAAAATCTAACTACTTTGAGTATATTACACTTAATTCTTCTTCTTATTAAAATACATTTAAAAATAAAGTCTTCTTTGTCAGCTACACGCAAAAAAGAAAGCAGTAAAAATAAAGAAAATTATCCTTATACTTTTCTATATATAAATATTAAAAAAACTGAAGGGTAAACTTCTTTAAATTACTTTTATATATTATTTACTCTGTTTAATACCAAAGTTTGTATTTCGCAATTAAACAAATCAAAACGTTGCAATCGGTCAAAGCCGATCATTAAATATCTGGCACCACCGACTTTTTCAAAATAAGGCGTTTTAAGGAGAACGATATTTTCAAGAATCTTCTTGCTTGGTCAACTCTGATTTGTGTCAGAATTATCTTGATGAACCCCAGATATTGACATTTAAGTTAATGCAGAACTTGATTTTAGCAATAGTTCTCTCTTATAGTAAAACGTGAGACTGTATCAAGTCGTCGTATATACTGCATACATCTGCGTAAACCCTTCACACCTTGTACTACAAGTAAGTGGTGTGCGGCATTTACGTGTTTTGCATTAAGTTGTAAATAATTAAATAAATGCATATTAAATTTTAAATATATATTGAAGAACGCTAAATAGGGAAGACTTTATACAATGCATATGCGCAGAGAAGATAACTACAACCAAAGAATGGTTTTGTGGCACCTGAAAAGACATAAAGGGAAATCCTACTCCTATTCTTAGTTAAGAAAACAGTCTGTGCCGATTTACCCTTGGCGTTTCCTCATCCATCTGTGTGTCTGTCAACTTTTATTGGGGCACTCATATATCAAATTTAAAAACTTGATCCGGTTAAAAACACGCATCTAATCTGTAGCCTTCGCAGGTCTATTGCACTAAACTTGTTTGCGAATACTTCTTGACGCATTCTAAACAGATTAGTGGAAAAAATTTTCAATCGAACTTGTGTGATACAATCATAATTAACAAAATACTTTGTAATTGATTTTCGATTATCAAAGATTTTTCTTAGATTTCTTATTTATGTTTAATTAGAAATTGTTTTGTTAAAAATTAGAAAAATCTACACTACGCTTTAGGGATCAGTGCAATTCTCTTTTTTTTTTTAGACCAATATTTTGCGCTAAAACCTATTATTATAGCATTTGTAGCGTCGAGTTGTGTCGGGTATAAGAATTTATATCTTTTTGTAGTAGAGAAGAAATGTTCGATTAAAAAAAATTAAATGAAATTATTTTTAACTGTCGTTGCTGTGTTCCTTCCAAATTTTTTTTAATAAACTTTTCTGAAATTGTTTTCCATTTTTAAATGTAATTTTCTTTTTTATATACCTGATTAAGTAACACATAAAGAACTAATTAGAAGATTATTTTCCTTTTTGTCGGGGGCTATACATCAGCAAATGCATATAGAAATTATCGCAAGATAATTGTGCAAATGTCTAAACTAGCTATACTATAAATAGCTTTGACAGTCGTGAAGCTTACTTAATTCTCAAAAACTACATACACACATACAAACACTTTCACTCATCAGAAGGTTATTGGAAAGAAAAAATATAATTTATATTATGAACAATAAGGTAATAAGCTTTACTAACTAGCTGTACTAACGATAAAAAATTAAAAGTGAAAAAAAAAAGAGGAAAAAAAAGATCAGAAACTTAATAATAAAATGTGTTTCCAGTTAATAATAAAAATATTTTTAAACCTAAAAACACATACAATAACAATTACAACTAATGAGCTTGCCATTTAAATTTTGATTCCATTAGCCATTGTTGCCCCCGATTGAAATTGCAGGGACGCAGCAGTGGTGTGGTGGGATCTTCGCGAGAAGGCCGCTCTAAGCAGTGCCCCGTGTTTGAATGGCGTATTGATTTATACTGCATTGGAAGTAATAGGAGGAAAAATGTTACAGAGGAACCATAAATACGCGGAATATAAGGATATTGTTTACCTCATTATTGTACACCCATTCCTGATTTCCACCCATATTATGACAACGCACCATATTGACCGGCCCCATTGAATGTGAGGCGTCTAAGCACAGATCATCTGACATGATTTGCTGGCGTTTCGTATAAGCGAATACTTGATTGCCACCCAGGCCATGGCAATAACTGACACCGATCTTCTCACCGTATTTACGACCCATTGTATCTAAACATGTCTCCGTCTCAGCATTACGTATCTAAAAACGGAAAATTTATTAATTTATACATTGTTGTTGTTGTAATTAAATTTGATTTACTTACTTCTCCTAAATAATAATAATCCAATGGCATTAAACTCTCAGGGTAGATATTTTCCAAATACCAACGGAAACTTTTACAGTTCAAACGTTCACGTAAAGATTTACGTTCGCTCACATCGCCAGCTGAAGCTTTACGGGCTCCTGTTTGTAGTTCATAACGAGGTTTACAAAACATTAAAAAATGAAAAAAAAAAAAAAAAATTCTTTTTATTACATTTTTTCTCTTAATAATTTTTTTTTTGTTATTGTGATGAGTTGGCAGATAAGTTAGTGCAGTGAGTTTGGTTGTTCCATAAAAATATTCCACATATGTAAGTGAGTGAGTGAGTGAGTGAGTGAGTGAATTTATAATGGATTTTTATGGAAATTTATTTTCATTTCAAATTTATCTATATAAATACATATATACATAAGAAAATTTATGCAAAAGGTTTTTAATACAATTTATAAATATTTTATACATATTATATTATAATAGTGATTTAAAAGTGATTTCGAGAGAGTTTTGTGGAACTTGGAACGATAAGAGAAATAACATTACATTGCAAGAATAATTTCGAATATAAATTTTATTACATATATATGATATAGTTTCAAAGCAGTACGCATATCATATGAGTATTGTTAACTCGAAAAACAAAAGAGAAAACAACATGCACACATGTACGCACTTTAAAAAAGTATTGCATTTTTTTTCAACGACATTGCCTTAGTGCCCCAAATCTCAGTTGCAAGGGGACGCGCTAAACGGCTTCTCACTGTTGACATTTTAAAGTTTGCACTCAGATGTAAATTAAAAAAGATAACGTAACATTTTTCTTTTTTTTTTGTGTTTTAATATGACCAATCACTCAGGGCATGTCCCCGATACGTGTAACGCGTCGATGGCCAGAAAGCAGTGGGTAAAGAGGGAAAGAGGTAGAGATTGTGGCCATAGCCTAGCGGACGTACACTCAATCCGTAAGTGCTATATGGCTTAATCGGCTGAGCGCTCACTATCACTACGACCGGAGCTTTTCTACACATGGCTGAACGACGGGAGTATGCTCATTTTGTCATAATGCTTGTAACATCCGAAAGGAAGCTTCAGAGACCCTATGAAATATACATATCCTTGATCCATTGATTAGTCCATGTCTGCCCGTCTGTGCGGTGTGGAAAAGCATTCACTTCACGACTTGTGGTACAGGGGCATGTTACGTTTAGATGGATGTAAGCAACACCCAGGAGGATTTGATTCACATTCATCTTTTATTATAGCGATAGATTCAGCCTCATTTTCTTAATCGATCTAAGCTTGTCAGGCAAGTGTATGAAATATTTTGAGGAAATTCGGTAAACGGTTGTGTTTTGATCGAAAACCGAACGTTATTCGTACCATTTTTTCGATCGTCTTCCGTATAATGGCTCATTTCGGAAAGACGTTATATGAATAACTGTAGGGCGATATAGAGTGTTTAGTTGTTATTTACAAATTCGTTTTTAAAGAAAGTTCACGATCATTAGATTTACGAAAAATCCAAATCAATATATATCGATATTACTATGAGAAATTTGTTTATTATATGACCAGGTATACCAGTCACTTTGTAGTTCTCAGAAAATATAGAGGGGATAACATGATTTTGCTTTCCTTACTCCATGACCCCACTTCAAGTGTAGGTTTTATGGAAAGCTTAGGAAGAGAATAAGGGGAAGGATTTTAGCAATCTTTCTGTCATCAACATTTAAATCACTATTTTTATTTTATATTTTTTTCATTTATTTCTTAAACATATAATATTATCAAATTTCTTATATAAATTCCATTTCAATATTAAAAAAAAAAAAAAAAAAGAAAGACATTAAAAAATTAAAGCGTTTGTTTTGTGCTCATGAGATAAAATAAAAAACAAGACAGGATAACAGCAGGATGTGTGCAAAATAAAAAGATGAAAGAACAATGCTGTTGAACAACAGACACACATATCGGCAAACATTAAAGCAAAATAAAACAAAATACAACAAAAAAAAACAAAAAAAAAAAAGAAAGAAATACACGTCCATATATATATATATATATATATATATATATATATATATATAAACACACAACCAAACCCAATAAAATAAGAATAAAACAAATGTTGGAAAAACACAACGCCAACAAAAAAAAAAAAAAAAAAAAAGTTTAAATATTGTATATTAAACAGGCAACAAACCAACTGTAAAATTAATTTAATTACAAAATAAAATCCATTGAAGTGATAAATAATAATAATAATAATTATTAATTTTTTAATCAATATACAATACATAAATACAATAAAGAGGAAGTCTTTACCAACAGAAAATAAAAGCAAACAAAATAGAATACAGGACATGAAAAAGGAGAAAGGAAAGCGAGTAAAAATCAATCTATTAATGAGCAAGGGTGAGGGGAAAATGTACACTACAACGTAAACAACTGAAATGATTGAAAAGAACTCAAGTTTAAGAAGATTTATAAATTCTTTCATATGCAGAACTTAAAGTGTATTCATGTGAATATTAATAATGAAAAGATGTGACGGAAAGATATGGTGAACTGAGGACGAATAACTAATATTACAATATTTATACATATATTGACTGACTATATGGCATGATATGGATGATGATTTAAAAATATTTCGATATCTGAATTTGTTAGATATCTAAAAGGTCAATACAAACTCTTACTCTTATTTTTCTCTAACCTTTGCGAGAATCACCCGATACGCATTATTATTGTTGTACTTTGGCTCATAATGTTGTCTCTAAGATTTAAATTTCTTTTGTTTTTTGTTCGCAAAATTTCTCTCAACAACAATGCACAAATGAACTTTTCCCATTTCCTGCATAGATTTGATATGATGAACTTGGTAACTATCTTAGTTGGATGAAGGATTAATTTACTGCTAGAGTTATCAACATTTTTGTTCACATGTTCACATTTTTCCTACTTCTACAATTCAAAAGGTTATTGAAGGGACAACACTTTTCAAAGAGAAAGAGAGAAAGAGAGAGAGAGAGAGAGAGAGAGAGAGAGAGAGAGAGAGAGAGAGAGA